CACCGCCTTCCGGGTGCCTGGGGTGTGTGTCCGCCCCCGGCGTGCGGCGAGCGAGAGGGCGCTGGCACCCATCACCGCTGCTTGTGCCTTTCAGCCTGAATTTCAAGGACCCTGAGGCGGTGAGAGCTCTGACGTGCACCCTCCTGAAGGAGGATTTTGGGCTCACGATTGACATCCCGGTGGAAAGGCTCATCCCTACCGTTCCCTTGAGGCTGAACTACATTCACTGGGTGGAGGATCTCATTGGGCACCAGGATGCTGACAAGCAAGTCCTTAGGCGAGGCATTGACATAGGTACTTGAAAAAACCAAATGTTGAATGCGTTGTGTGCTGTCACTGAAACTAGCTGCTAAAACTTGTTACCCATCCATGGAGAAACGTGAAGTTTGGGAAACAGCAGTACCTGAGCTGTGCTTGCTGTGGTGAAACGGGCAGGCTGACAGCCGGTATTTGTGGGTAGGATGTCTCTGTGCTCAAGAGTGGCCGTAGCAGGCGATTATTTGGCTTTTCGTGGCCTTGAATTCACTTGAGTGTTGCTTTGTGTGCTAAACAGAAATTACACTGCTAGTAACACAGGCAAAAGTGTCCTAAAGGAATTTTTAAAAAATGATGTTGTTTCTTCACACTGAATTATGTTATCAGTCTGTTAATTTTGCCTTTGGATGTCTGCACGACACAGTCTCTGAGTTGCATAGTGATGTTTTTGAGTGTTCCTTTTCGTACAAAATACTCCCTGGTTTCAGGTGTATTTGAGAGATGAATGGTCTGTCTTATTTTAAACTTTGATTTTCTATTTATTTATTTATTTATTTACAATGCAGATATTTTCACGTAAAAGAGACTTAACTACAAACCAAGGCAAATAATAGCAAAGCTCCCTTTTGGTGGTGGATGGTCAAAGATGTCCTGTGTATTGTTGAAGATAAAATACTTGCTCAGGTGGACTGAACACCCACTGGTGGATGTCACCTGTCTAAGAGCACTGCAGCTTGCTCAGTTTCACTCTCTGGATTATCGGACAGTATCCAGACAATGTGTGGATTAAGCAGTAGATTAATGTAAACAGTTAGTAGAGATGTGAATTTATGAGGTGTAAAGTGCACATCTTCTGATTTTCATTAGAAATTAAAATGACAATCTCTGTAGGAGCAAGGAATGATATTCCACATAAAGAAAGTAAAATTGGCATTTGGATTCTAAATTGTTGGTCACTCTGTATAAATTATTTAGAAGGCACCTGTGATGGTACATTTGAATTTAGTTCACATCTTTTTTTTTTTGATAGAATATTCCTTTACTATTTCAAAGGCTTGTTTTTGAAGTCTGCTTTGTGCTGAGAGAAGCTGAAATCTCTTTTTTTACTTAAGTTTTAATGCGTGACGTTAAAATGCTTACTGACTTCCCCAAAAGTTACTGACTTCCCCAAAGCTCCACTCAGACCTGGAGCTGTTGACCACAACTCTGAGTGTGACCATCCAGCCAGTTCCTTATCCATCAAGCGGTCCATCCATTAAATCCATGCCTCTCCAATTTAGAGATAAGGATGTCATGTAGTACAGTGTCAGATGCTTTGCACAAGTCCAGATTACATTGGTTGCTCGCCGTTGTAAAAGGACACCAAATTTGTCAGGCATGATCTACACCTTGTTTCCCATGTTCCTCAGCATGGTTTCCAGGAGGATCTGCTCCATGACCTTGCCAGGCAGAGGTGAGACTGACTGGCCTGTAGTTCTCCAGATCCTCTTTTTTTTCCCTTTTTAAGGATGGGGATTAGGTTTCCCCTTTTCCAGGCCACCGGAACTTCACCAGACTGCCATGACTTTTCAAATATGATGGATAGAGGTTTCACAACCCCATCTGCCTGTTCTTTCAGGACCCGCGGATGTATTCCATCGGGTCCCATGGACTTGTGCACCTTCAGGTTCCTCAGGTGCTCCCAAACCTGAACCTCTCTTATCCATGGGTGGCTCTCCATTCTCCCAGTCCCTGCCCTTGTCTTCCATGACTCCAAGATTATGGCTTGTGCCCTTGCCAGTGAAGAGCGAGGCAAAAATATCATTGAGCACCCCGGCCTTCTCCATATCCTGGGAAGCCAGCTCTCCCATTTCCTTTTGGAGAGGGCCCACATTCTCCCTGATCTTCTTTTTATCCCCTGTGTACCTACAGAATCCCTTCTTGTTGGCCTTGATGTCCCTGGCCAGGGTCAGTTCTGTTGGGGCTTTCCTAACTTTCCTAACCTGATCCCCGACCTCTCAGATAACCTCCCTGTAATCCTCCCAGGCTCCCTGTCCCTGCTTCCACCCACTGTAGGCTTCCTTTTTGTGCCTCAGGTCCTCCAGGAGCCGCTTGTTCATCCACATGGGCCTCCTGGCATTTTTACCTGATTTCCTCTTCGCTGGGATTCATTGTTCTAGGTTTGGAAAAGATCATTGAATACTCGCCAGCTTTCTTGGGCCCCTCTTCCCTTCAGGGCTTTATCCCATGAACTCTGCCAATCAGTTCCCTGAAGAGGCCAAAGGCTGCTCTCCTGAAGTCCAGGGTAGCAAGCTTGCTGTACCTTCCTCGCCTCCATAAGGATCTCCAACTCCACCATTCCATGGTTGCTGCAGCCAAGGCTGCCCTTGAGCTTCACATCCCCCACCAGCCCCTTCCTGTTGGTGAGAACAAGGTCCAGCACGGCACCCCTCCTCATCGGCTCCTTTATCACTTGGATAAGGAAGGTGTCATTGACACCTTCAAG